TTGGACACTTTTAAAGCCCCGCTTTTCTTTTCTCTTAAAAGGACTGTAAAAACAGTGTCCCCTTACACCTTCTGACCCCCAAATGTAACATAAACATTAGGCTGCCTCTTGCTCTTAAGTGTCTCTATCATGAGAAAAGTATAAGGACTGTGATGCTTTGGCCTTATTGATTTCTGAGTGTCCTGGAACTTATATTGAGATAAGGAATTCTGATACTCTTCTGACACTTATTTACTGCATACTTATTATGGGTCTGTGACGCAAACGTACTGAAGCCAAAAAGACCAGGCAACAAGCATTTTCAAAAATGGTCCAGCAATGGCAGCTCCTATACTTTTCTCATATAAGAGTCACTTTAACCTTGCCCACACCTGAACCTTAACCCAGGGCTCAAAATTTCCACTCGCCCCCTGGCAATTGGCGAGTGGAAATTTGCTTCGGCAGAGGCGATCGCTGTGTCAGTTTTCTCTTCCCCTCCTCGTCCGCTCTATAGCTGCAGCGGCTGAGAAGGAGAAGAGAGAACTGACACAGCGATCGCCGCTGCCGAAGGAGTAGAATCAGTGTGGCTGTCTTCACTCCAGCTCCTCCAGCATCCTCTCACCACCACCACCACCACCAGGAGAGGAAGAGGGCACATAAATCACATCAGTTATGTGAAATGTAAATCCCTATTCTTTCTGCCTTACACCTTACTGACCTCTGCACTGCGCGTTACATTACTGACCTCTGCACTGCGCGTTACATTACTGACCTCTGAACTGCGCGTTACATTACTGACCTCTGCACTGCGCGTTACATTACTGACCTCTGAACTGCGCGTTACATTACTGACCTCTGCACTGCGCGTTACATTACTGACCTCTGCACTGCGCGTTACATTACTGACCTCTGCACTAACGTTACATTACTGACCTCTGCACTAACGTTACATTACTGACTTCTGCTCTGTGCGTTACATTACTGACTTCTGCTCTGTGCGTTACATTACTGACTTCTGCTCTGTGCGTTACATTACTGAGCTCTGTACTGCTGACTTCTGCCTTGTGCATCATACCGCTGACTTCTGTACTCTGCATCACACTGCTGGCCTCTGTACTGTGCATCAATCCGACTAATCTCTGTACTCGGCATTATACACTGGCCTCTGCACTCTTTGTTGTTACTGATCTCTGTACTATGCATCACACCGCTGACCTGTAAATTTCTCTACTGCGCGTTACATTACTGACCTCTGCACTGCGCGTTACATTACTGACCTCTGCACTGCGCGTTACATTACTGACCTCTGCACTAACGTTACATTACTGACCTCTGCACTAACGTTACATTACTGACTTCTGCTCTGTGCGTTACATTACTGACTTCTGCTCTGTGCGTTACATTACTGACTTCTGCTCTGTGCGTTACATTACTGAGCTCTGTACTGCTGACTTCTGCCTTGTGCATCATACCGCTGACTTCTGTACTCTGCATCACACTGCTGGCCTCTGTACTGTGCATCAATCCGACTAATCTCTGTACTCGGCATTATACACTGGCCTCTGCACTCTTTGTTGTTACTGATCTCTGTACTATGCATCACACCGCTGACCTGTAAATTTCTCCAGCACTGAACCTGAAGGGAGGCTCAACGAGGCCGCTGGAGGCTACACCTCTGTACAAGGAGGCGACATCGCTCCAAACCCCCCCCCCCCCACCACCACCAGAAGAAGAAGAAGAGAGCACCAGCATCACTTGCAGACAACTGTGATCGATGGCAGCCGTCATTGGATAATACAGCACCTCACATTAATCTAAAGGCCCATTCACACCAATTGCGGTGCGTTCTAGAGTTGCAGCTGCTGGCACGCACAGCAATCGCTCACAAAACTTCTCCCTTTGTTCTAGGGTGAGAGGGGCATGGCGGTGTATTGAAGTCAATGGCACCGCAGCCACACACCCCTGACCGTAGTGCGATTGGACGCATGGCATAACAATGCCTGGATTCCGGTCCACTGCAAACGCAAAAAATGCTGCATGCTCTATTTTTTGCGTTTGCAGTGGACCAGAACGCAGGCAATATTTTGCCATGCGTCTGATGGCAGGGGGGCGGGGCTATGGTGCCTTTGACTTCAATGCACCACAGAGCAAAGGGGGAAGTTTTGTGAGAGATTGCTGTGCGTTCCAGCAGCTGCCACTCTGGAACGCACTGCAATTTTTTGTGAATAGGCTCTAAGGGCCTTTTCACACCATGTACAGACCAGATCCAGACCAGAATTTTTTTTGTCTTGTCCAAAAACACATCCCCATGTATTCCCATGGTATTTCTAAGCTTACTTCACACCATTGCATTCAGTTTCAGTGCATTAAAAAAAAAAAGTACTGCATGTTACATTTTTTTGTGGTCTGGAGGGCACTAAAATCCATGCAAATGCACCTGACAGCTCATTGACACAAAAAAAGCACGGGAACGCATCAAAAACACAGCAAAAACGCAGAAATGCATCCAGATCTTTTCCAGACATGGTGTGAAAGGAATTTGTGAGACTCACACGATCGCCTCATTCGCAGGTATGACTAGAGCATTATGCTTCTGGTAACCAGAGATCATGTGATCTTTGACTATGATTCAGGCCATATGGTGGATTCTGTAGCAGTAGCTTCTTTATTCGTGAATTTTTACTCCGATAGAATATAATACATATATAATGTTTTGGTAATTCATGTGAATGAATTGTAATAATAGGTCCACTTTGAAATACAGATAAAGTGAACATTGTATCCACATTTGTAATAAAAGTACCTTGTTTTTTACATTTAAAGAGAAAAAAATAATTATATATTTTTTTTTCTCACAAAAAGATTTTATTATATGAAAGAAATGAACAAAAAAATAAAAGACATTTTAATCTGCTGCAACATTCCGCCTTTAAACAGAAGCTCTGCTGCATCCTGCTGCTGATGGTTGAATGACAGCCAGCAAAATTCAACCCACTTCCTGTGTCATTATCCAGCTTGAAATTACATTTCTGTCGTTTCAAGCCTGATGAAGGGGACCCTGTGTGGCCCCGAAACGTTGCTATTTGTTTTGACATAAAGCGTCAATAAACAGAGGTGTTATTCACTTCAATATGGTGTGCTGGTGACATCTTTAACAAGTTTCAGTATTGGCGGCGCTATCACTTCGAGCAACCACGCTGACATGGATATCCGGTAAGGAGTGCAGCAGGGTTCTGGAATACATATTATCCAGCTTGGGCTCACAGTACTGCTGGACTGAGCAGCGCTGACACCTCATTACAAGAACATCACTCAGGACCCCAGATAGTAAGGATAACTTGCCACAAACTTGTGGCAGGGTTAAACTGTAATTCTTTTTAACTTGCTGCACACATTCCCTGGCAAGTTGTAGACTTGCAGAACATTTGCAGCACAAGTTCTAGTTGACAGTCACTTTTTGAATTTGTAGCAAATTAAAGTCTACAGTAAGAGTCCTGCAGGTCTTAGCAAGAGCTCTGCAAGTGAACAGCACTTTTGCAAAGCACGTTGATCTGGAGACTTGCAATGCAGACTTGCTGTAATTGTGCAACACAATTGTGAAGCTTGGCAAGTCTAGCAATAGTTTAGCAAGTCATTTTCAAACTTGCAGCTCAATTGCTTGCTATCTGGGCCAGAGGAAGAAGCTATAAAAAAATATCATGAGAAATGGATGGGCACCTCTGGCCCTCCAGCTGTTGTGGAACTACACGTACCATGAGGCATTGCAAGACTGACAGCCACAGACTTGACACCCAGAGTCAGAGGGTTTATGGGATTTGTAGTTAAAGCACAGCTGGAGGGCAGGAGTTGCCTACCCCTGTCATAGGGGGGAAAAAATGTCAGAGTTGAGCTTTGACGGAATCCCCAAACTCCTTATTTATAAATCAGTCAGCTGTTACTGAATCATGTTGCTGTAGGTATTGTGAACAAGTCCCTGTGAACAGGTGCTGTGAAAGTGTTACAATAGGCAGGATTTAGCTCATGAAGTGATTAGCACCACCACTTGTTTATCTACTGACAAGCTCCTGCTCCTCCCCTCAACAGATGGGACACAAATGACAACCACTCTGTAGTGCAATGGCCTTCTCAGGCTTTGGAGGTTTCCTGAGGATGTTCTCAGGGTCAGTTGTGGGTTTAGGATTCTAAGGGTGACACCATCTTTATTTTACCCCCCTTCCTCAGTGCTACCCATTTACCCCTTAACCCCCTCACTCCTTCATATTCTGATTATAATCACAAAATAATTGTAGCGGCATTCAATGCACATTTGTAATGCATACTGTTTCGTCCTGCAAGGTTTTTGTATGGCGCTGTTTGGCGCATCAATAGCGCCGTACAGTGAAAGCGTTGCAAATAAGGACTTCTTGAATTGGATGCATGTATCAGTGCGAACAATGAAAATGTCACAGGGTTTTCATGAGTGTGGCACAAGGCTTCCCACCACATACACACTTCCAGAAATGTGTCAAAAAAACGTTATTTTGAATCACCCCCAGTATGTCTCTTATGCATTAAAAGCCTGCCGTTTGCAAATGTTTGTTTAATAACCAAAGTTCTTTTTTTAATAATAAAAAAATCTAACATTTTTAGAAGTAGGCCGGCATATTCCTATCAGAACAGACTTTATTTGTCAAAGCCAGGTAAATAAACAGACTCCTACACTCTGCTGCCAGACTCAAACATGGCTACTGCAGAGCTTCACCACGGCTTCCGCCTGTAATTGAAACGTCGCTACAGTCGCCTGGCAACAAGAGACGGAAGTGATTTTTTTTTTATCCATTTTCCCGCGGTTAGACTGTAAACTGTGTCTGGGAGAAGGCGGAGGAAGGTCTAGCAGTAAGCGGCGACGCTGGGCGCAGTGTACAGTGAAGAATTAGCGGAACCTTGGAGCAGAGTGATACATACCGGGGACCGGACCGAGTACAGTGTTCTACATAGCGGACTGAGCCCAACACCCAGCTACAGTGCTGCTGTCCCGTACAATGCCGCCCAAGAGCCCCAGGAAAGTGACCCCCAGTCGGCCTCAGCAGGGGGAGAGGAACCCCACAGAGCCGGGCGGGTGAGTGAGTGTGTGTCATATGATCTGTGTTCAGGACTGCTGTCACTGTATTCCCTTCACAGGCATGGGACTGTGATGAAGTGTACCTGTCTACCAGAGGATGTTGACAGCAGAATGGCATTGGTAAACAATATGGGGTTATAGAGAGCTCAGGAATCTTTATTATTCAGTGGTCATCCAGAAGAGTGACAGTATCCTCCCTGGTAATAATGGCATTCTAACCGCTGTGTCCATCCAGCTGAGTGTATAGACTGATCCGGACATGTGGACTGATGGGTAAGTGGCACAACTGACTTTGGCATATGACCTAATGGCGGAGGGGATAGATATGGTATGATGCCACCGTCTTCCCAAAGCTGGCCTTATATTAGAATTGCAGCCAATTTACATGGATCTATGACCATTCTAACAGTGGGTGGCTTAGCAAAAGTCCATTATGATGTCGAAGAAGCTGGGCTATGCAGCCAATCAGTTACAGTCATTGTTCTGGTATTCTGACAGCTGCTGGTGTCGGTGTTCGATCACTTCTCTGGACCTGTGACATTTTACCGACCCATTGTTATAATACAATACTGCGGACATTCTACTGCCCCATTTCTTGCCATATAATGTTTAAAAAAGAAAAAAAAAATACTACTAAATTCGTAATAATATATAACAGTAATAACTTATAGTGTATATATACTATCTATATAGAATATATGTATATATTTGTTTTTTTATACAGTGTGTATGTGTATCTCCCTGAGAGAGAGAGAGAGAGAGAGAGATATATGTGAAGTGTGTGTGTGTGTATATATATATATATATGTTATAGCTTTTTATTATATTTATATATTTCGCTTTTAAGTAATTTCTTTCTGCAGGATTGTGTTCTAGCAATGGGTCTATAAAATTTCTGGACCCGCACCTTTGCAGTAGCATGTGAGATTTCTGTTCTCGCTTCATACGCCCCCGGAAGTCCAGATATATGGGGTACGAGTGGTAGAACACCAGCTCAGAATACAATAGCCTGTCCGCTATCCACCGTGTTCAACATGGATGGAAGCATCTGTTTGATTTCTTTAGCTCAGACGTCTTTATCCAGCTGTTTTCTGCAGGCTCTGTTGTTCGTATGTCTGTGGAAAGCTGATGGCTGATTGCCCCCAGGGGTGGGTAAAACCTGCACAATTACCCCTCCAAACCAAGATAAACTGCACTTCTCTATAACAACAAACATGATGCTGAGCCAAGCAGTCTGATTTGTGCATCCAACTGACACCCAGGGACAGTTATATCATACATAGATATCTCACCACCTTTGTAGATCTATGGGGCCCAAGTGATTGGATTCATCCAGATGCAGCCTTCTCATTGTGCCTAGAGGAATCTTGTCATTTCACGTGCCTAGTCATGATAAAACAATGTGACACTGTGTCCTATGTGTGACATAAAAGGTATGTGCACATGAATGTGTTTCTTCATTCCATTATTAATACGTATTTTCTGTCTGAAAGCAGAAGGACAACTACAGCCCAATGGGGGTTTTCTTTATTTGGCCCATTCTTCCTCATGAATGGCAGCATTAAGTTTTTTCTTTTTTTTTGTTCCCGTTTTAGAACATGCTACAGTCCTGTTACTGTTTGTGTCTGTCAGTGTTGCCAGTGGTAGGTGGCCAAAAAGATGCTGGGGGTAATTCTAATGCAGGGGTGGACAAATTAATATGGAATTCAGGAGCCAGTCTGTCAAATCCAGGAGCCAGCAGGATTTTATTAGGTGCCAGTTCCATTGACAACTCGAGAAATCCTCAGAAGGTAGCCACCAGCTGTAATTTGTAAGGAGCACTGGTGACCTGGCTCCTGGGATTTGTCCAGCCATGATCTAAAACTACAATTCTTTCCATTCCTTGTCAGCTGGTATATAAGGGCTTGTTCACACCAAGCGCGTTCCAAGAGCAGAGCAGTTACCGGATCAAAACTCACTGAAAGCCCATTTTAAACTAAATACATTTTTTTTTGTGTGGCAACAACGGCCCTGAACGGGGCAAAAAACGCGTCAAAACACTCTGCACTGCGTGTGCAGAAACTCATGCAGATCTTGTCTGCATTTGGTGTGAACAAGCCCTTATGGAAAGGCCCATGTGATAAAGACTGATAACAAATGTTAATCTTGGTAAAAAAAAATATTTATATTTAAAATATAAGTTATACCAAAAGAGCTGCCTTTGAACCTTTCACTGTAGCATACAAGTATCCTAAAATCTTCACATTGTAGATGACCTTGCAAGTATTGTATATCATATCCACTCATTCTATTAAACATAGGCCGCTTGCAGCATGTTGTTTACAATGAAATAATGTGCCATGAGAATGCGTATTTGCCTTAAAGCCCCCGTCGCCAGATCATTTATTTCAACAACAATCCTTTAAAATGACATTTGCATTTAATCTACTTTGGGCTTGTTAAATACCTATAAAAGCCTCCCATGTTTGGACATTTAAAAGCCCTCAGGCTTGGTTCATGTGTGATATCGCACAAAACAGAGATCTGCATTCAAGTCTATGGAAGCTGTTCACACTTGTGCGATCTGTCACATCGCCTGTTGCGCAAAAAGGTGCAGGAGCTATTTGCGGGTGGTCGTCGTGCTGTTTGGGTCTTTATAGTAATTTCCATGCATTGAAAACCGCGCGAACACAGCTCACCAGCTCAATCACCTGGGTGTGAACGTAGCCTGAGACTGCTGCTGGGTGCCACCATCTTGGATATGATGTCAGCAACCCCAACAGACTTGGCACTGTCAGTCCATAGCTGCTGCATAATTGTCTATGGAAAGAAAACGATGTTGGAAGGAAGCATTTAAAATACTCGACTTTTCTTTTTACCTGCAATTGGCTAATTTGATGAAGGAGTCTTTTTAACATTACGTTATAGTGCTGCTGCATGATTCTACTTATATATATGTATTTTCTTCCTCTCAGAAATGAAAGTCTTGATCCAGTCTTTTCCTCTCTGTGTAAGCAACTAAATGTATCTGAACCGTTGCGAGGGCAAGCATGGCAGACATACGAGAGATTGTTTTCCTCAGATCGGTCATTGGTAAGTACCAGAATACTTATAATTGCAGATCATTTATTGGGGATTTAAAAGAAGGTTATTAAAAACCTGTAATTATAAAATGTAGCATTAAACAGCACAATGTGTTGCCAGTTCAGTTAGCAACATTTTGTGGTCTTTTTATTTGTGTACACATTTAAAGCACAACTCTGGGTAAAATGTTTCGCTGTCTGCCGGGTCTTCAGTGCTTGCCTGTGGTCACAAGTGCAGACAAGCACTGGAACTCGGACACCAGTGCTGCGATGGCTTCACAGACTTGGCGTTCTGTCATGTCACCCTCTGTAACTGGCAGCCCATGGTACAAAAACTGTCCCCACAAAGGCTTCTGCTGGGACAAAACCCAGGACTAGTGCAGTGCATGATTTTAGCCTGAGGCCCCGTTCACACCTGGGCGTTTTGTAGTGCGTTCCTACGCTCTGCAAAACGCTCAAACACTGAAATCCCATTATTTCCTATGGGTATGGTTCACACCCGGGCGTATTACAGGCCGTATGAACGCGCTACAAAACGCCCTACGCCCAAAGAAGTACAAGAGCTTCTTTGGGGCGTATTTGCCGCGCGTATCCATTGGGATACAACCAGGCAGCCCTCGGAAACACGCGTCTGTCGCACGTTTTCTACAGCGAATCGCGGTAAAAACGCGTGGCATGAAATGCGCGACAAACTCGCATATTCGATACGCCTAGGTGTGAACCCAGCCTAAATCAGAAAGACACCGCTATCAGTGGCTGATGGATAGACAATCCAGGATTGGGCTCCAATATGAATCAAACAGCAGCAGCTTGAGTGAAGAAATATCTGAACCTAGTCTAAATCCAGCAGTGCTAGAAGATAAGTCCCATTTCCTAAAGCACAATCAGTAAGTTAAACTGGCTGTTTCAGCAGAGGAAAACGTATAGACACTTGATAGGGCTGGACCTTTTTAACACTAAGTTTCTGACTCTCTGGGGGTGACAGTATATTCACCCATCATTAAAGCAGAACTCTGGGTAAAGTTCTTCTTAACCCTTGCAGTGGGACTGCTCATTTTTGTCTAGGTTAAAAAATAACAACGTTATATTCGCGTGTTCCTCGAAGGTGGCTGACTGTGACAATTCTCTCCTGACTGTCTCCTCCCCCACTGCAGCGATGATATGTCCCTCTGCATCCTCATATCCTTTACACCCGTGGTTCTCAACTGGTGGGTCGTGACCCAAAAGTGGGTCGCGACCCCATTTTCAGTGGGTCGCGGTATGCATTTCACTGCACTAGGTGAGAGGCTCCTTAGCTTCCCCCATAGTGTAGTACTGTCAGTTCTCATGCTGAGGAGCAATTCAAAATATTTTGCTCGGCGCAGAGTGTCAGCTTGAGGTGGGTTGGGCTGGAAGTATGGCCACGAGGGAGCTCCATGCAAACATGCATTGCTTCCAGCTCCCTTGCGTGCCCTTAAGGCCCCATTCACACTGAGCGATTCGCAAATCGCGTGTTTGTCGCGCGATTTGCATTTTGCGCGCTATCGCGCGTTTGTCGTGCGATATCGCGCAAATGCTTGCATTGAGCAAGCTAGAATCGCGACAAAATCCGCTCCATAAAGGGTCCTGCTGTAGCGACGCACGACCAGCGATGGACAGAGCCCCATTGCCATGCATTGGAGAGCGATATCGCGCGGTAAATAGCTGCGATATTGCGGGAATTACCGTGCGATAAATCGCTCAGTGTGAATGGGGCCTTAGAGGTGCCTGGACCAGATTGATGTCACATTCTGGCTTCCGACACCTCAATAGGGAGTGCAAGTGAGTTGTACAACCAATGCACGTATGGATGGAGCTCCGTCACAGCACAGCAGCCCACACTGAACCCCTACATTTTTTTTTGGAGTATATATGTGTGTGTGAGAATGTGTCTGTGGTTGTGTGTGTCTGTCATTGTTTTAATCGCAAACTACCACGCAATTGCTCCTACTGTTCATTCTGGTGGGGGAAGTGCTGGAGGTGGCCTGCATTGTAATTCATTTAAATGGCACCCTAAACACACCTCCTGCCCACAGTTTGATCGATTGCACCGGAACAGGTGGTACTGCAATGCCGTGTGTTCCAGTGTGGTGTGACTTGGGCCGCAACTTAATGATCAAGGACAAATGTGGGTCCTGAGGTTATACAGGTTGAGAACCACTGCTTTACACTGTGTGTATAGAACATGATGAATCAGGGACTTTACACTTCTGCAGCGGAGGGGGAGCGAGGCAGAAAGTAACGGTCTGAGAGCAAGCCGGCTCTGATCAGATTGTGGGCGATCAGTGGATCACGGTGCAATGCTTTTCGCTGTCTGCCATGTTACTGGCAGATAGTTCACATTCTGTACACCAGGTCCAATCTGGTGGGGGATCTGTGACAGTTTTCTATATTGAAAACTAGGGATGCACCGATACTAGTATCGGTATCGGTGCCAATACCAAGTATTTGAGCGAGTACTAGTACTCACCCAAATGCTCCGATACCTTCCCGGATACCGGAACTTCAGGTCAGAGGGAGATTTCCTCTGATCGGCAATGCCACAAGGGAATATGGAGCCGGCTTCCTGGCCAATCAGGAAGCCGGGTGGCGGGTAATGACACGCCGCCCGGCTTCCTCTGATTGCCTGAGAAGCCGTCTCCATGCTAGTGGAAGTACCGGTATCGGCACTCTGTATCACTAAATATCGGAACTCGTACGTACTCTATACTGAAAAACCAGTATCAGTGCATCCCTATTGAAAACTGCTGCAATCCCTTTGTGAATTAGGTGGGGAACTTGTGCCAATTTTTAACTGGTGTGGATAGAAGAGATAGACCCAAAACAGGTTTTATCTGATTTTCTAATGTGCCACAGTGTGTGTGTGTGTGTGTGTGTGTGTGTGTGTGTGTGTGTGTTTCCCTTTGCTTATGTAGAGTTTGATAATGTTGTGCAGCATTAATTGTGATTATTACAGTAGTATTTGACCCTTTTTTTTCAATACTAAATCCAGACCAAACATACCCTGCCCAGCTTAAAAAAGTAGAAGGAAGGAGCTGGGAACAGGAGAGTGACTTGCCTTGCTGTGTTTGTGGAGAAACACAGAGCTTACTGGCACACACAAGGGTGGCTCCATAGGACCCTTCAAGGTAAAGGGGCCACTCGGGTAGGGCTGCAGCTAACAATTATTTTCATAATCGATTAGTTAACCGATTATTTAGTTCGGTTAATCGGATAAAAAAAAAATGGCTCCAGTGACGTACTACTAGTTTGTATTGAGATTGTAGTCCATCACGGGAGCAAGCCTGGAGTGGTGGAAAAAAAAAAAAAAAAAAGAGGGGGGGGCAAAAAAGAACATTATAAAGAGTTGTACATTATACTATAATGTATTATTGCTGGGATTTGTAGTCCTATATAACTGGTGGTATTCTGCAGTGTGCTGTATAATGATTATACGACGCAATGCAGAATACCAGCAGCTATATAAGAATACAACAAATGCCAGCAATAGTACATACAGTTTATAATGTATTGCTGGGATTTGTAGTCCTCTATAGCTGATGGTACATTGTGCTGTATATGTACCATCAGCTATAGAGGACTACAAATCCCACTACCCCAGCAATACATTAATACAGCACCATGTGGGGGTGGGGGGCAGGAGAATGCAGGCCTACCTGAGCAGCTCGTGGGCCTGTCTGGCAGCTGCCTTCCCCCATATGCCTGCTCGCAGGGAGGGCCCAGTCACACCATCAAGAATGTGGCGAGTGAGGGAGCTCACAGCGAGGAGCAGCAGCGTGTGCGGTGGGCGTGGCTTCTGCGTCGTGTCCGGCAGACACGGCGTGTGACGTGCGGCTCGGGTCATGTGTGGAGCCCCGAACAGGCTAAACTATCGATAGCCGACTAATCGACGATGGAAAACGTTGACAACGTTTTCCATCGTCTATTTTAATCAACGTAATCGATTAACTGTTGCAGCTCTACACTCGGGACCAGTGCTCAGGGGACCAGGTGATTCTGCAGGAAACTAAAACGTTTAAACATCAAGGAGCAGCGTCCATTGCAAGTGATTTCATCAGCATTTAAAAAAGCTTAAAAACATTTTCACTTTAATATCACTTTAAGTGTCAGCTGGTGGGAAAACCCCTCTATTACCTCAGGTACTTAAATTAATGCTGCTAGGGAGGTAAGAAAACCCCCCAAAAAGATAGTTTTACAAAAATTCTTAATGACACCGTGCTGTATTTAACGCTGAAACAGAGAGCGTTAAATGTTGACCTGTATTGGTGTATATGTATTTTTCAGTTTGCAGTGGATCATTATAAGGCTGGGCACACACCTTACAACCATCGCAAGATTTTTGTCTTGCGATGGTCGTAAGGTAATTAAAAAACCGTATGATCTGCCTGTCTTGGACAGGCAGATCGTACTTGCGATGAACGCAAGCCCGCCACGCTGAGGGGCGGGCTTCCGATGACCGCAATGCTGAACGGGCAGTGTGCGCTTGCCCACACCGGCCCGTGCGGCATTTATCTTACGAACATGCCACACACCCGCCGACAATCGTACGATTCTCAGCGGGTTTTCGAACATGTTCCTGAGATAAAAGTTGTGCGACCTTACAGCAAAAGATGCCGCACGCCTTCCACACACTTTGCGATAATCGTATGATTGCGGGATTTCCCGCGATTATCGTACGATTATGGCAAGGTGTGTGGGCACCTTAACTCTGATCTGTTGCTGCCGAGGAGACGGGACAGAGTTGCATCCTGAAAATACAGGACATGCTAAATGTTAAAACATTCAGAGGAATTAACAAATACTGGTGCACAGCAAAAAATGTGCCATGTCTGAAATGAATATTCTCCTGTGCACAGAGCCTCAAATTAATGAATCTTGTGCTAATAGATTGTTACTTTTGTGCATTGAAGAATATAAACACAGGATAGAAATGTGACCTTAAAAAAGGTTTTTGGGCGCCAAGTAGTAATAAAGAAATGGCTGCCTTGCTCCCAAATGTACATTTGTGAGACAAAGAGTGGGCGACAATAGCATTTTGTCACATCCCCAATCTATGAGATGTCAGAGTGCAACTGCTGCCTGGAGTGCTGAAGAGACGAGACTTCGGGGGACTGGTCACACAGAGTGGTGGAAGCCTGCTGGAGGAAATGGGTAAGTGATTCAGCAAAGAATAAGGTAAGTATTGCAGCTTATTCCTCTACAGCAATTCACCCCTGCAATGTGGGGTTTCCCCCACTTCAGAAAGGTGAAATACTCTCCTTGATGTCTGATGATGGGGAGCTTGTGCTGTTGCTTTACATATTTCCTCTATCAGTAAGGCCCCATTCAGAATTGGCTTCAAATAGTAGAGCTTTAACCCTTTCATGACTGAGCTAGTTTTCAGTTTCTGTTCATAAATGACTGACACTTTTTTTACATTTTTGCTGTGTGATTCTTCCACAGCAGCAAGTTTTGATTAATATTATTATTTTTAGATTTTTTTGTATCATTTATAGTATAAAAATGTATTTATATATAACTTTTTTACACTTGCAAACAAAAGTGTAAAAAGAAAAAAACTTGTTTTTTTTGTCAGTTTACATCAAGCAGTCACTATGACTGCTTGATAAATTAACTTTTTAACTTTTTAGTTATTATTAGGCTGCTCCAAACTTAGGAACAGCTAATAATAACCTTAGGGTCCCTTTTGCGATGGTTGTAAGGTGTGTGCCCAGCCTTAGACACTGATCCTGAGAGCAGTTCTTGATCGTGCCCAGACGATCAGAAGTGATACATTTCAAGTACTGAGATACATTTCTATCTCTTTGCTTGAAATGTATCCTAAACATCAGGCCAGACTATACAGCTGTCAAAAGGAATAGCAGAGAGGTGAATCACTGCTACCTCTCTGCTATCTTCAGCTGTCAAATACGGGTTCGCTCTTTGGCGATCACGTATTATTTGTATGTAACGGCTTCATTCTTTCATTAATGAAAGAAAGAAGCTTTTACAAAAGCTTAACTATTTAATTAATGCCTCAATAGTGAGGCATTCATTAATGACTAGTAACCGCTGAGAATCAGCTGTTATCGGCATCACAGAGCCTGATATAACTCGTCACGTACAGTGTACCTGGCCAGTCATATAGGCACTTTGTGACGGGACCTACACTGTACGTCTCCCGTCACGAAGGGGTTAAGGACACTTCCACTCTCTGAAATCTTCTTAAAAGGCTTCCTTGCCCACTTTCAATTAAAGAAAGTTCAGAAAACAATGCATTTACCCTCACAGGAGTTCTTCGCCATCTCTAGGCAACACAAATACATGCACATCCAGGGTTTGTACTTGCAGCACCGCTGCTCCGGCCTCAATCCCCATGGCCCTGTCTGTTCCTCCTGACAGCCTCAGTCCTACACACTGCACAGTCCTGCACTGGACTCTACTCTGACTTCTGGGTGGAGTCCTCCTGTCTCCTAGGTGGAACTCTGAACACTAGATAGCAGCCTTTTCATAAGGGTTGTGCACAGGTGCACAATGTTAGGTGCTGGTCACTAATAACACCTGGACCCAGGAATGGAGATTTTTTTTTTTCCCCCTCCCAATTATCTTAGAAATTTCTCGGTTACAGGATCCTAACTATAATCCAATAAACCCGAAAAGAATTGCAAAGCCAGTTCTTTCCTGTTAAAAGTACTTGTTTCCTGGAACCGCTCAGCCCCTCTGGCTGAGAGTCCTGGGTGACTATGATGCCACCTTATACCGTGTTATTGTCACGCAATGCTACAGCCTGTAAATGGGCCAAACCCGGGAGGGACAGGTGCTACGTGTAATTGCACACAGCAGCCTGTTCTTCCCTGCGGGAGGATGCTGCTGTCCGCTGTCATCCGCACACCTGATCTTGCACATACGTGTGGTTCCGGATGTCTGCGGACACCCAGACCCCCATGGATGTGCAAGTTTGGGTGTGCGGAAGACCGCGTACAGCAGCATCCTCCCATAGGGAAAAACAGGCTGCTGTGTGCAATTACACGTAGCACCTGTCCCTCCCGGGATCAGCCCGTTTACGGACGTGTATGCCGAACGGACGTGTACGCCTCGTCCGCAACAGGCCTAAAACAGTGATCCCCAGCAGATTACTTCTCTGAATCTTCATGTCGTTTTCTTATTGTTCAACACACACGGTTATTCTGTAACATGCTTTTGATACCTCTCTAATTTCAGTTCTGTTTTCTTGGCAGCGGGACAACATGAGGAAGATGGAATCTTTGGGACTTTGTCTTTATATTGCTGCAGTCAACGCTGATGAAATGACGTTCACTTTTACAGAACTCGTAAAGGCTGTAGATATAAGGTAATTCTTGTTTCCCATAAACATATGGTGCAGAGCCTGGCTGCTTCTGAAACATTTTAAATACTCTAAAATAAGTACAAATCTGGGAGAAATGGTCACCTAATGGGCACAGCAGGGGAAGGAACTTGGAAAATCAGGTCCAAAGATCAGAGCTGCAGGAGTGAATTCAGAAAGCAAGAAATGCCTTTCAATTTGATATACTGTAGGGCTGCGAAAAGAACATCATCATCTTCTGTAAAAGGTTATAGTTGATAGTTAACCTTTACAAACTTTAACCCCTTCGTGACGGGAGACGTACACTGTACGTCCAGCCACAAAGGGACCAAATGACTCGTCACGTACACTGTACGTGACGAGTTATTTGCTGCACTAGAAGGCTGCTAACCGCTGAGAATCAGCGGTTACCTTTCAGTAATGGATGTCTAACTATCTAGAGATCCATTACTGAAAGGGTTAACCTTTTTCAGACACCCGATACCTTAATATCGGGTGTCTGAGAGTCACAGCAAAGCGGACACACATGTCGGCTTTTGCCGGCATTCTGACAGCTCGTATAGATCGAGAGATATCTCTCTCAAGCTATACTGGCTTTTTTTTTTTTTTATCTTTTGACTTTCAAGAATAGATACAAAATGTTATGTATTAGACACATAATGTATCTATTCTTGAAAGTAGAATGTTTAAGTTTTCTGAAACATTCACTGACAGCTGAATCCTGAACTGCTGCAGGATCAGTGTCACTAACTTATTATCGGCTGTTCTGAAGTTTGAAGCAGCCTGATAATAAAAAAAATGTATTAATTTATCAAGCAGTAATAGTGAGATTAATTCACAATGACTGCCTGATATAATTAAATAAATAAAATTTGTCAGTATAAAAAAAGTGAAAAGTGTAAATAAATTAAAAAAAATAGTGAAAAGTGTAAAAAAATTAAAAATAAGGGACAAATAAATGAATGTATGTATTGCATTTTTTTTTAGCTGTGCTGGTTTTGTTAAAAAAAAATACTACAAATCAAAACTGGGAAAAAAAGTTTTTTTTTACGTTTTTTCCTCTTTTTTTAATTTGTATTTGTCCTAAGTGAGGCGTTAGACACACATATGTGATATAAATATATAGCCCTATCTGTCCTCTAAAAAACAATATATAATATGTGTGGGTGCACTTTGTAAGAAAGTATATTACTGACGTGGAAGAATCACACAGCAAAAATGTCAAAAGTGTGTCAGTCATTTACGAACAGAAACCAAAAACAAGCTCAGTCATGAAGGGGTTAAGTTTCAGTAAGCTTTATCGGACTAAAATTAGGCTCTATGTGTGTTTTGTAGTGATGAGCAAATTGATCTGTAAAGTTTTTTTTTGTTCTGGCTCAAGTGCCTAGGGACCCCTGACGTCTAAAGGAGATTGAGAAGTCAGCCAAAATTAGGAATGAGCACAGTGGAACCACTCAAACAATTTTCTGAGGCTTTTTAGGTCTTAGGCCAAGGGCAGACCAGTGCACCAGCCTGTTTTGGATCTGGAAAGGTTTATCTATCTAATATATTACTTTACCAAATGAAGTGGAAGCAAGTTATTCTAAGTCATTTTAAAGGCTTCAGGACCACTCCCACTGTAAAAAAAAAAAAGTCCTGGTCCTGAAGCAGCGGGCGATAGATAAAAGTAATCAGCCACTGGATCACTTGTACGGTTTGGTGGAATGCGTTTCCCCCTTACCCCCCCTGCCGGCTACCCTAGGCTCCACTGTCTCATGTGTAGGCTTGAGACCAGCACAGCGGGTCTTCTCTGACAGATTGGAGGGAGTTCAGCAAGCTTCTAGCCGCTGATCTCTCCTCCGATCCCTTGACCCGTAAGTGATGTGTATTGCATCACCTCTGGGGTCATTGTTTACATTTTCCTGGCTCCGGTAGCCAGGAGAAGAAGCTGGTGAAGCAGATGTCTGCTTCATCCGCTTCTTTGGGGTCCTTAGGTGACATTAGGGGTCTGAAGGATGTCTACATAAAGAGGACTTGTCACATCATATTTGCTTTTACATAGGGCGCTTGTGTAAAAGTATGCTTGTGTAAAAGTGTTTAAAGTCCCCTGCCCCTACGTACATGCACATACAAGCGCAAACGTCAAGGGTGCCTAAGTGCAAAATTGCGCCACACGTTGCACGTTTTTTTCCCCAGCTTAAAATAGTCTTACCGGTGCGTCCCAGTGCATTCCATGCTTTTTTGATGCGTTCCAGTGCATTCCAGACCAGACAAAATAGGACAAGCAGTATTTTTCTGGTCTGGTCTAGAATGGACTGCGCTGGTGGAAACCGAGACATTTTGGGTCCGGAAACGGTCTGGTCTGGAGGTAATCTAGAGCTGGTGTGAATGGCCCATAAGGCCTTGTTCATAGCTAAGCGTTTTTCCTCACGAAACGTGCAATGCATTCTAATGGGGCTGCGTGTTGAGAAAAATACATGCACGATTTTCTGGCCGGTTGTTCCGCATTCTGTTTGTGATTGTAGCTGCAAACTTGCGTTTTTATCCGCGTGAAAAAACGCACTGAATTGCAAAGGCTCAGGTGTAAATGGAGCCTTAGCTAGCTCAGATTCCTTCTGCATTGACTTGGCAGCCTTCTTGGTAAATCCAATATTGTAGCTTTTCCATTTCTAGCGTTGCTGTGATTCTTTATTAACCCATGTGTGTCACTTTCTTATGTTTTATTTTTCACAGCGTCGGTAAATGTTTTAGCCTTCTGAGGCAAATGGATATCAACATGGATAATCTGAGTACCAAAGTTGACAGTGCTGTTATGAAGCTTAAGAAAAAGTATGAAACCATGTGCCATTTGTATCAGAAATTCCAAAGGTAAGAAATGGGTGAATGTGTGGTAGACGGTGTATTTGCATTGGTAAAATGAATTGCCTTTCTTATATAATAAGTAAGATTTGTATTGCTATGGGAAGCACATTAGCATCCAATAAACCTGTAAAATTGACTTTTACTTGCAACTTCCATTCCATTTAAAAGAGAAATTGGGGTCTATTTATGAACAATCATCAGGGCCTCTCACCCTGTGAACATCTGTGAATGTTCGTTTTGGGTGAAAATGACCAAAAACGAATGTTCTTAATATATTGTCAACTGCACACACACATCAATTGAGAGACCAATAGGATCCTGAGGGCTTGTTCACACCATGTCCGGATCATGCCCAGACCAGAAGTTTGTTCTTGGACCAAAAAAGCATCCCAATGTATCCCTATGGTGTTTCTGGGCTCTGTTCACACCAGTTCCGGACCAGACAAAAAAAAAATACTGCATGTCTCATTTTGTCTGGTCTGGAACGCAACAAAAACGCACCTGTAAGCCTATTTTAAACCAAAACATAAAACCGCGGCAAAACGCACTGCACTGCGTTACAGATCTAGTCCGGGACATGGTGTGAACCTGGCCTGATACCACAACAAATATTGTATATTTCTGCACATTTTAGAGACTTGGTAATGATTTTAGGGGTATCCTCTGCGTAAAACACTAAATAAATGAAGTAGGAAAGGTTTGTCATTGATCAGTTCGGTTTCACATGTGAAATAATGTAAAAATGGCTTCACAGGTGAATTTTACAGCATCTATGTAACACTCATCTATTTTTTATGCTACCCTTTTAATGCCACCAGGTCATCATACATAAAATGAGCCTCATTATGCGTCACCCTCTTTGCATTTAGTTTTAACCTGAGTTTTAATCCACCTCTGAAATGCCACTAGTATGCAGTTTCATTACTGACTGTTGGTGACCTCTTGTGGTAAACTATCTTCACGACAGTCCTGCTTTTCTGCATGGGCATAACGCTTTGCATAACCGCTTTCAAACTCAAAGAGCTTGAAATGGGCTCTTGAAGAGTGTCACAACAGCCTGTAAATTAACCCCTGAGCAACCAGTGACATACATAGTACATCATCATAGTACATCACCGGAAGCAGACCCGTTTAAATAGACGTCTGTTCGCCAATCCCCTCCCCGTTCTATGGGACCGGGAGCAACACGGATTGCATCACTTCTGGTCCCTGGGCTGTCAGTTCTGGGCTCCTGAAGCCCAGCAATAAGCTATTGAAGTGCGATCTACACTTCAATAGCTTATTTAAAGTGGAAAGGTGACACTGGGGTATCCGGATTAAACAAATGTATTGATGAATACAAAAATATTGCACATGAATCTTTCATGTGCAATATTTTTGTATTCATTAATACATTTGTTTAATCCGGATATTTGTTTGGCTACTCCAATCCTTTTATAACTACTGCGATCTGTATCCTCCTTCAGGGACAGAACAAATCCACTTTTTGTCTTTTGGACCCTCAGTATCACCTTTTTAAAGAGTACCTCTCACCACCAATATGCTATCACGTTGGGGGGGGGGGGGGCTTTCAAGCCCCCCTATGTGATGGCATTTAAAGTAAAAAAAAAGTTTTAAAAAATATGAATGTAAAAATAATATAAAAAAGTTTTAAAGTGCCCCGCCCCACGAGCACGCGCGTATTCACGTAAACACGCGTCAGGAGCCCCTACGTACAAAAACTTTGATTGCGCTACACATGTTGGGTATCAACGCACACGACAGAGTGAGAGTAATATTTCTAAGGCTAATATTTATGCATACCTCTAAATTGATGACCTGTAGGGTTTTCCAGTACTGAATTTTGTCACCATTTCACATATGCAGAATTTTCAACCTGGGCATGTTGGGTATCTATTTACTCGTCATAACCTAATAGTTTATATTTTACCAAACAAAAAATGGGTATTGTCTTGTGTTTTTGGGCCACTAAATTTAATTCAAGTACATTTTTTACTATATGTTTGGGTTTGATAAAGAACTGCGCTAAAAATTTCCAACTGCCGCCATTTAATTCTACAGGGTGTTGGCTTTCAAATAATATGTAATGTTTGGGGTTTGAAGTAATTTTTAGGCCTAAAATGTGGATTGTAACGTGTGCAAAAAAGGGGAAAAAGGCCTTGGCCGTGAAAGGGTCCTTAAGGGGTTAAAGCAACGCATTTCATAGGCTCCTCCGAATATATGAAAACATTGATTATTATAGTTCGGCACAGCTCACTGTTTTCATTGCATTGCTTTTCAATCCCTGGTCATGTTGCTTACTTGCTTGGACGCCAGAGTCTTTTCTACCATGCAACATTGTACTTTGCAGTTAATGTCATAGGAATGGTTCTGAGAACATAATGTTGAAGGGGGCTATATATAGCAGATCCTATTCTCTAAACCTGATGCCTTGCCTTGTTTACATGACCACAGCTCTCAAATCTGCCGGTAAAGGTTTCAGATTTGTACAGCTAGCAGTACACTTGCTATTCAGAGAGCTCTTACAGAGTACAGGGAAGGTTTTTTTTTTTTTAGAGAGAAAATGTGTAATCAGTCAGTATCTCAGAAATAATGATTTTCCTGTTTTATCCTTTTTTTCTCTATATGTAAATCTTTGTATGTCTTATTTTTCATGTATGTTCTGCACTTAGGTTGTATGTTCACATGCTGATTGTTTTATTTTCTGTTTTCTTTCAGTACATTTAAAGACATATTTTTGAAGCACCCAAATACAGAGTAAGTTTTATATCTCTATCCACTCAGACACAAGGAAAATCTTTGTCATTTACAAATTTGGAGACCAATCCCAATTATGTCCATAGCATCTGTAAGGAATAAACAAAGCTACATAGCGACACATGTAAAATCCTCAGCACATGTAGAAAATAAAAACACAACCCCTGTGTTCCCACTGCATTCGTTTCTCTTGCATTTAAAATGATTATGCATGTATTTATTTTGTTTCTCCCATAATGCATCACATTTTCTAGAACTTTGGGGAGATGCAGGGCGAGGGATAGCGCCCCAGGCTCTAGTTTTCATTTAATAAGTACACATTATCTCTCCTGTGTTGGAGAGTGATGTGGTATAGATTTGCTCCATAACTTTATTGAAGGTGATGAAGGTTTGTGATCTTACAAATGGAGGATTTCTTGTTTGAGCCGGAAGTTCATAAGGCAACAGATGACGCCTCGTGGAGGGTCACTTTTTTTTTTATCCCCTAGGGTGTACTTTTTCTAATACAATGGGGGGCTTGGGTGGCCTTTCTAGGAAGCTGTTGTAGATTGATTGCAGAGCAGAACTTGGTTAATCCCATTCTGTGGCCTCTGGTATGCCTCTCACTGTAAGGTTGTACCACTGGCCTCTATTATCTAGGGGTCGGTGTATTTCAAGAAAATGCTAAATGTGTTTGGTAGTGGTGTGCTGAGCATTTGTAGAGTGGAGTCTCTGCGGTTGGGCTGCCATCTTTTTTCTACTTTCATTTCCCACACACTTATGAGTTTATTTTTTTAATTTGCTGACTTATTTAATTATTTAACTTCTTTATTACTGTACTATATTTGTGAAAGATTGTATAAATTGAAAGCCTGTATTTGTTGATACACAGAAATACTTCTGACTCTCACCTTAAGACCATTCTTGAGGGGTCTTGGACAACTTTTATTTTGGCTAAAGGTAAGAATTCTAAAACACTGTACATTGTAAACTTAGCATTTCTGACCAGGTGGTTACTTGAGGACCCATAAACTGTTGGTACAAAAGTCACTTGAATAATTTAAGAAAATCACAGCACCTGTACAAAGGTGATAGACCTGTCTCTCGGTGGGAGAGGTAAAAAAAATGTAATTTTTGTACTCGCCATAAATTTTTTTTCTTGGAGTCTGTTGAGGAACACAGATCCAACCCCTGTGTTGATGATCATGGGTTTGATACTGTCCGCTACTAAACTGAGGCATGCTAGTAGTAACAGTTGTTATCCAGGACTGGCCTACAGGTTGTTTTTTTTTTTGCCAGTATCCCATCCTCCTATAGGTGGCAGTATAACCCGAAAGTGATAGACTTCCTGTGTCCCTCAATGGCCTCAAAGAAAAGGATTTTACAGAGTTCAAAAATCCATATGATTTTCTTTTACAAAATTTCAAATGAACTGGATTTTAAGTGATATTTTGAGCAGTTAAAAGTTAGCCCCACTTCATTTATTAAAAGCTTTAGGGTAATTCCTCTGTCTTACAAAATGTGAACTTACCCAAAGCATTCCAGCACCTCTGCCCATCCCTGCTATCCATGCAGTTTAGCTGTATGTGGACCCCTCCAACTCAACCCCCCACCACTAGTCGGTGTAAGGTCTATGAACCTAAGTAGAAGCGCTCCTCATTGCTCATTTCCTGGCAGCATTTTCACATTTGTTCTTGCACTACACATTGCCACTTTTGTATGTATGTTGTAAAACATTGCTGACTTCCAAAGTAAACATTTGAGTTCTGTTTTGTGTGTGTCTGTTAGTATATTGTATTTGTAAGCATAGCTTGATGATGTATTACTGTTCCAAAGCAAGTATTATGCTATGTGTTCTTTATGCGGCTAACAAATTATATATATTTTTTATTAAAGGGAAAGTTTTACAGATGGATGATGACCTCATAATCTCGTTCCAGTTGTTGCTGTGTGTCTTGGAATATTTTATCAGGAAATCGCCATTTGATATTCTAAAGGATCCTTACAGTATGTCATAACATAACATTGCTATGCTTTTGTGAAGTGTTTTTAGAGCCATGAATTTACCAACTGCTGAGTAATAGAGGTTGATGAGTTAATTCTCTCAGTGGGAAGTATAGGGGATGGCTCAGTCTACAGATTTGTATTGCCTTTTTCAATGCAACATTGGAAAAAAACATTTCTATCGGTAACCATGTGTTGATCTGATCTTACATGCGCAAAGTTACGAGTCAGATGACATTTTATCTGTTTGGTAACATTTTGTACCTGTGTATAGGAACCCTTTACCTTGGCTATGTTTATGCCACATATATATATACCAGGGCTGGTAATGATTAAAATTTTTGTGTTCGATTAATCGAATTTTTTTTTCATTGATTAATTTCGATTAATTATAATGCACATACAGATCCAACTACATTGGCCTATACACATACAGCACAGCAATGAAGTAATAAAATGAACTAGGATCACACTAATCCAGCACGTTATTAATCTCACGTGGGGCAACTCAGAATAATAACGTGCTGGATTAGTGTGATCCTAATTCATTGTATGACTTCATTGCTGTGCTGTATGTGTATAGGCCAATGCCTTGGCTGGCGCTCGTGCAGAGAGTTTAAAAAAAAAAATCGATCCAAAAAATTTTAATCGATCAAAAAGATTAACGATTAATCGAGAAATTAATCGTTAATTTGCACAGCCCTAATATATACATACATATATACATACATACAGTGGGGGAGATTTATCAAATCTGGAGCAGCTGTGCATGGGAACCAATCGGCTTCTCTCTTCAGTTTGTTCAGTTAAAGTGACATTAAGGGTAAAATCCCCCACGCCCCAGCACAATGCTAATGTAAGGACTTGCCTTAAATGATGCCTCTTAATCCGATCTTCTGCTTTCCTGTAGTTTTTAGCTGTCCCTCCAGCGCTGGTGCGGGTCTCCGTTCCAGCGCTGACTCCTCTGTCGTTCTCTTTGCTCATGTCCCACGGTGTCTGTGCGGGTGCGCGCTGCTCCATCTACTTACCTTGTGTCTCCTCTCATCTCCCGGCCGAACATCTGAACTGCGCATGCGCCCGCCCCAAGATTCTTTGCAGCCGCCCGAGAAATTTTCATATGTTCGGACGGGAGCGCGCGGAGAATACACAGGTAAGTATTAACCCTTTTGAACGTTTAAAAAAAAAAATAGTTTTACATATTCATATACTGCTTGCTAGCAGTATATGCAAAACATGCAAGGGTTTAATAACCCTTTAAGATTTGAAAATGAGAGAGATAAGCTGATTGGTTGCCATGCACAGCTGCTCCAGATTCTGTCTGCTCCAGTTTTGATAAATTCCCTTCAATGTGTATAATGCATGATTTATCAAAGGATAAGTTTTCCTAATATTTGTAACTCTTTAAAAATGATCAGTTTGACATGCTTTAGATGGTACAGGTTTATGTGATATATATGATGTTTTTATATTTGCAAATGTTCTAAATATTCTGACTATTGTTTTGATACAGAGAGCTGTGTGAGTGAATTGTCTGTGAATGGACCAACCCGAACTTCCCGACGTGGTCAGAGTAGAAATACTCGTACGTCACGGCAGTGTGAAACGGACACCAGAATCATAGAGGCTCTTTGTAAGGCTAACGAATGTCCTGTTGATGAGGTAATCCTTTCCCTGTTTTTAGTTTGCTCTTGGCAGAGGAATTATAAACAGATCTCTGTTTGTCCAGCACTACTGTACCCTAGAAAATGGTCATTACTCTACCAAAGTTTTCCTGCTTGGAACTTGTTTCCAGGGCAGGAGTTTTCTGGGATCATAACTGAATCGGCAAGAATTAACCAGTTAGTGTCCATACATCTTACATGGTAAGGTGACATAAAGGTTAGTGAGTAAATGGTTCCTTTGTAGAGCACATACTAGGAGAGGAGTGTTGTCAAAGAAGAGCGCAGTGCCTGATGGTGGTTCTCAAAGTGCATTGTGATGCATAGATCACCAATTACTGTTACGTTTATATCTAATACATATCTTTTGAAGTACACAGTAGGCTTGAACAGCTATATTCCTGAAGTGATGGAAATGTTAGCAAGTGAATATGGTGACTACTTTTTTGTCTCTTAAAGTTCTTTGCAATTGACCTGATTAGAAAAGCTGGTCCCATGGCAGAAGTTGCAGAGTGGGACCCTTGCTCTCTGTTGGGAAGCAGTGCTCTCATTGCAGACCTCTGACATGCACCACTAAGTCAGACCTATAGCTCAGCAATCAGCAAAGCTAATGGTCTGTGTTGATTGGAAAACTAAGGCTCTGACTAAAGGTGTCCATACACCAGGGGTGCCCAAAAGGTCGATCGCGATCTACCAGTGATTGCGATGTCCTCTCCTCCCGCCGGTGGGGCTTCTCTGGATCCCCGCTGCTCTCCCCATCTGTATGCAGCGGGGATCCGAGAAGAAGTGAAGGAACCGGCAGCGGGGGAGGTCGGAGCCGCTGTCACAGAACTCATGCCGGGGAGAGGAGAGAGAGAGAGAGAGAGATGCTCGGTCTGGATCTGACAGCCGTCACCTCTCTCTCCCCTCACTGCTCGGCCTTAGTTCTGTGGCAGTGTCTCCTCTGCGTCCTCAATTTATTTTTCTATTTTAAAAGGGAAATATCAGGGGGCTGTTTAGACCCCTAATATTTCCCCAAAGCCCCCCAACAGTAAAAAAAAAATATTAAAATAAAAAATAATAAAACTGAAATAAAAAATGTAAAATAAATCCTGGAGGAAGGGCGCTGGGTGACATCACACGCCTGTTGGGGGGATGTTTTTTTTTCTGGCCTCGGGTGCAAAAGGAGCTGGCTACGGCTATGCTCCCACGGTGCTCGTGCGGCTGCCGGCTGAATGTGTTAGACACCGCAGATGGAAAGGGGCAGGACACCTCTCCCCATTTGCAACGTCGCCCACACAAGCACCACGGGAGGATAAGACGCCGGGGCCTCCAGGACGCACTGGAATGTAAGTCGGCCGGCTCCCTGCGTTCAGGGGCGGGAGGGGGTGTGAGGTTGTATTGAAGTCAATGGCACCACAGGCATGCCCCCTGCCCACAGTACGATCACCCGCACCCGGAATGCAGACACATTAGTGCCTGCATTCCGGTCCAGTGCGATCTGCAAAAATAGTGCTCGCAGCATTTTTGCAGATCGCACTGGACTGGAACGCAGGCACTAATGTGCCTGGGTTACGGGTGCAGGCGATTGCACTGTGGGCGGGGGGCATGCTTGCGGTGCCATTGACTTCAATGCACCGCCACGCCCCCTCCCGCCCCTGAATGCAGGTGTTTTTTTTCGTTGGTAGTACTCATTGAGCTGGTTATTTGAAAAGTATATCTCCAGACGGAAAATTGTGGGCGCCCCTGCCATACACCTATCGATTTAGTTTGGAAATCATCTACAAATGGTCTTTCGAACGATAATCGATCAGTTGATGGGAACCCAACGATTTTTTATTTTTTTTTACTGTACTTATTGCCGAATTTGCTTGATTGGTCAGGCTGCAATTTTTTTCAAATCATATGAAAATCGATGAATTATGGAGTTTTTCTACGAAAAAAATTGTGATATATAAAAAAAAAAAAGGCAATTACTGATTTTTTTTTTCTTTCATAAAAGCTCAAAAAAAACATATTATAGAAATATATTTTTCAGCATTTTTTATGCCTAACTTACCTAGACATACTTGTTTGAATGTTGTATTCATTTTATGCATTTCAATTTCGTAGGTGAAAAATGTTTACTTCTCTAGTTTTGTTGACTTCTTGGATTCAACTGGAATTTCTTCCATGAATGGTCTTCCAAAGGTATCCTACTTCTTTTTTTTTTTTACTTAACTGGCAATGGAACATGATAAACTAGGCATAATTTACTCTCTACGCCTATATTTAGTATTGTTTTTCTTAAAGCAATTCTGGGTGGGTTCTCCTTTGTTGCTTATACCGTATTCAAGATAAGCTAAAACATGTTAGATTCTTACACATGCTTGGTGATTTTATCAAGTGTCCAACCACACAAAGTAAATGACTTTGTTATAAATGTGGTTTTTGTAGACTTTACATTAATGTGTTCTTTCTAAATGGAGCTCTTCTGGTAAAGGAGCTGGAAAGCATTCAAAACAGGAAACCAACTGGAGTGATGGGTCCTCCGAACTGGGGCAGGAAACAAACTTGGAAAAAAAGTTCCAAGTGGCAGCTCTCCGTATTTACTCTCTTAGAACAGTAAAAAGCTGCAGTGCTGGTTTTAACTGGATGGAGATGATGAACTTCTAAAATCTGATTATATTTAGTGTGTGTGTGTTCTTCTAAGTGATCCAGCTTTTCACTCAGTAGGCCGAGAGTTATCTTGGACTTGAGTTCTTGAGACCAGATTTTCTTTGTATTACCTTTATAGTCATGGGCCTGAATAAACCATTTTGGAGATATGACGCCTCCTTCACGCCAGACAATAATCGTGCGGACTGGTGCCTCTGCCAGAGTTGCATTTTGTATTTTAGATGCATCTGAATCTGATTTTCTTCTCTAAATTTGTTAATTTTTATTTTCCACACAAAGAAAAAACATTTTGAAAAAAGCTGCAGCTCAGCACAAAGTCTCTTGTTTGTTACCTCTGTAATCTAAAGACTACGTAATAATTCTTTCAATTTTTGTCAATACAATTTTTTGTCTCAGGTTGAAGTCATTTCAAAACAGTATGAAGAAGTTTATCAGAGAAGCAAGGACATTGACGCAAGGCTCTTTTTGGTCGATGATGCATCTCTGATGGTTGATTTCAGTGAGAAGTAAGTTTTGAAATGTTACAGCAAATCTGAAATTATCTTTGGTTAAATGCTGCTGTTATCTGTAGTGAGTTGAAGTTGTGTTTTTTTTGTTGTCGTTTTCTTTATACCATAATTATTTTGACGGTATTCACTTGTAAGAAATATTTTCTTAGTACTGTCAGGATTTGTAACAGTGGTATATTTACTGTGCTTTTATGTGTGCGGAGAAAAGCTCCCCCCGCCTCCCCCCC